GGGAGTGGCCAGTGCACTCCAGTCTGGGCGACGGAGTGGAACTCCAACTCAAAAAAAAAAAAAAAGACTGGCAAAAATAGTCCTAGGAGGATAGATTTCTGGCTAAGAATGTGGTGATCACATCTTAGGAGGCAGGTGGGGCAGAGGCCACAGCAAAACAGCACCTCGCGCACAGGAGGGACATCAGTCACACCAGGGTCTGCCCTGGCTGCTCAGCAGGATGTTTCTGGGGTCGCTGAAAACTACAGAGGCTCAGCCCACCCCACCCGATGTGTGGCCAGGAGTGAGCCCCACAGCTCTGCCAGCCACCGCCTTCCTCCTCCAGAGCTCTTAGCTCCTTGCCTGGGAAAGCTGAAGTGCAAAGAAATGCGTTTTTAGTTCATTCTTGACCTTTGAACTTCCAAAGGCCCACATTCTGGCAATTTAAGAGCTTTCCAAGGGTAATAGGGTGGGAGGAGACATGGAAGGTGAGGCCTTGAGATAGATTGGGCAGACTCTGCCCCAGCCCAGCTTCGTTCAGTGAGCACTGTTCTGTGAGCACTGGCAGGGCAGGGGGCTTCTCTGTAGAGCTCAGCAGAGGCAGGGCCTGCAGGCCAGTCTGGAGCAAAGCACAGAGCCACAGGGAGCATTGCTGCAAGGTGCCGGGAAAGTGGTGCCCCGGGAAGGGCCTGGACCACTCAGGGAGCATCTTCCAGCAGCTGTGTGTTTCTCTCCCTCCCAGATCACCAAGCCGACCTTTGCGCCCCCAGTGCCACCAGGCAAGCCCAAGGCTGGAGGGGCCACACCTGGGCTGACTCAGGTGAGCCCAGCACACACAGGTGGATGTCCACCTGGGCAAAGGGCAGCGGAGGGCGCTGTTCCCATCAGGCTGACTGCCCTGTCCTGGAGGGTAGGGGTTTCTTCCGCAAGTAAACGTTGGTGACTGTCAAAAAAACCCGGAAAACTCATTGGTGATATAGTCAGGACTTCTCTGCAGTTGCTGCTTCCGCTAGCAGCCGGTTTTGCCCTTTTCCGCACCTGTACAGGCAACAAAGTCCGTCCTTTAAGTGGGTTGTTAGTTCTGTGGCTACCACCGTAACCGTGTATGCGCAGACCGTCATGTCGTTAAATGGACTAAGGATCGAGTTTGTTTTTGAGTGGTCTGTCCCTGTGGCCCAGGCTGGAGTGCGGCGGCGTGATCACAGTTGACTGCTGCCTCGTCCTCCTGGGCTCAGGCAATCCTCCCACCTTGGCATCCCCAGTGGCTGAGATAACAGGTGCACCACCACACCTGGCTGAGGGAATCTACATCTGAAGAAACGTGAAAGGAAGCAGTTCCGCTGGGCCCTTGATGTGCCTTTATAGCAGACGGTTTGAAGTCCGTTCTCTTTTCCTCCTCCAAGGGGGTCGTGGACCCAAAAGTTGCCCTGAAGCCCCCAGTGCAGAGAAGGTGAGCAGCCGGAGCCCCCAGAGCACCGTGGGGGGTGCATCTGTGCCTGCCAGGGCGTTTGGAGAAGTCACAAGGAAGAGCCACGCTTGCTCGGCAGCATCCCAGGGTCCCAGCCAGAGCCTCTCAGCTCAGGACTCGATGGCTTCTGACCTCGGGATTCTGACCGGGGAGGCTTCTGTCGGCCCCGTCCCTTACCACAGTCCCTTCTCGCCTCTTTGGCCGCACGCAGCCCTGTCATGCACAGTCACCAGCCTGGAGATGAGTTGTCGCCTGCTGTGTGCATGTGGGTGCACTGTGCGCACATGTGTGTATGTGTCTCTAGGTGGCCACTGCCCTCCTCGGTGAGGCAAGGAACACAGCCCCTCCCTCCCAGCTGTCTGTACCCCCACTCAGGCCTGTGGAGAGCGCGGCTGCCCTGGGCACCCTTGTTCCAGGCAAGGGCTGATGTGGTCCATCACCAGGAAGACATAGGCTGGCAGGTGGTCCCCATGCCAAGTCACGTTCCTCTGGCCATCTTCCTAGAGATGTCAGTGAGTGGATTGACTCTCCATCCAGACTCCGGGTCCCTTAATGTTGGGAGCTTGTTTTCCAAGGAATTTAAGACAGGGAAGTTCCAGCTCTCTCTCTCTGCGTGTGTGTGTGTGTATGTGTGCGTGTGTGAGCGTGAGCTTAGAATCTATTTAAAGGACATTGTGGGAGAATCAACTGTCCCGTCTGGTTCTCTTGAAACTTCAGGTGCACTTTCAGCAGGGCTGAAAACTTTGTATTCCTTAATAATGAAAAATGTGTGCTTTATCAATAAATTATTGACCAAGATCTAAATGATGGGAGATTTTTATACATCAGTGGGAAAAGGTGCATGCTAACCCATGTGGGATTCCATTTACAAGGTTTGAAGGGTCTGGTGCTTGTTAAAATGTCAAGTCAAACTGTACCTTCCTTTATTCCTGGATTTTAAATAGTAAAGTCCCTCCCCTCTTAATTAAACAGTCCCACTCCTCTGATTAGAAGAGCTAATCAGATCCCAGAACTGGTCCTGAAGGCTATTTTGTAGCAATTTTTTTTTTTTTTTGGCATCAGAGTCTCACTCTGTCACCCAGTCTGGAGTGCAGTGGCACGCTTACGGCCACTGCAGCCCCGACCTGCTGGACTCAGGCGATCCTTCCGCCTCAGCCCAAGTAGCTGGGACTACAGGTGCACACTGTCACGCCCAGCTCATTTTTTGATTTATTGTAGAGCTGAGGTCTCACCAAGTTGCCCAGGCTGATCTTGAACCCCTGGGCTCAGACAGTCCTCTCACCTCGGCCTCCCAAAGTGCTGGGATGACAGGCTTGAGCCACCGCGCCCGGCCACTTTGTAGCAATTTGACAGAAATGCTGGCGCTGCAGGAGCCGACCCCGTCTCCCGGTAAGGTGTCACAACCCGCCCTCGCCCTGTCCCCTCCAGCCCCTACCCCGCCCAGTGCGCAGCCCGCCGCCCTTCAGCCTCTGCACCCTGGCACCCCACGCGGTTTCCAGCCTGGCTGGAAGCGCTTCGGTTCAGCCGCCTCAAGCACCGCCTGGCCCAGGGCTTTGGCGATGGCGGTTGGCGCGCCAGGGAGGCAGCGAAGGGCCCGGCAGCCTGACCTTTGGTGTCTCGTGGAGGGTCCGCCGGTTCTCCGGGAAGAGTTGGAGACCCCAGAGCAGGGGCACAGGGTGCACTGGAAAGGCGGCGGGGGGGACAAGAGAAGGAAGGTGAGGGCTGGAGGGAGGGGACCACTGTAGCATTCCACCCCACCACTAGGGACTCTGCAAGGGAGCTGGTTCCTTACCTCTTGCAACCCACGGGAGTGCTGAGCCTGCTCTGAGCCTCTGCACTGAGCACTCGGTCCGCTCCTCCTCCCCCAGCCTCCAAGGGCACACCTGTTTCTGTGGGTGCACACCTGGGCCTGGCTCTGTGGTGCACACTTGGCTGTGCAGTGCATGTCAGTTCTCTGATGGCACACTTGGCTCTGTGATGCACACCTGGCTCAGGTGCATGTCAGTTCTATGGGTGCACACCTGGCTCTGAGGTACACGCCTGGCTTTATGATGCACAGCTGGCTCTGAGATAAATACTCCGAGGTGCATGTCAGTTCTGTGGGTGCACACCTGGCTCTGCGATGCACACCTGGCTCTGTGATGCCAGTTGAGAGGTGCATTCCTGTGCCCAGGCTCTTTCATCAGGGGTCACCAGTGCTCCTGCATGCAGGATGTCCCTTGCCAAGCCTTCCTCCCCGTGCTGCGGCAGCACAGACTGCAGCCTGGGACCTAAGACAGCATGTGGGGTGGGTATGTAGGCTGTGCTGGATGACTTCAGGGTCACAGGACCCTTGGAAATGGCAGTGACGTCGCACTTCCTGAGTGGGTACCCAAGTCTTGATGAGCTGTTTTCTTGAGAAAGCAGGAAGGTGATATCATCGTGTGGCTTTGAGGATAGCAGGGAGGAAGCAGTGAGGAGAAGTGAAACTGCCACCTCCTCACGCGAGTACCCCAGCCCCGCCCGCCAGGTCGCACCTCCGGTCTGCGTGCCTGCAAAGCATGTCGAAAAAACCCAGAGGGAAAACAGCTCCACCTGCCATTCAGACGATGACACAGGTGAGTGCATTTGTGTAATTGTCACTGGTGTGAGAGACACCATAGGATCGAGACATTTGGAGGAATTGTGGGGGTCACCTGGCAGGGGGTGGCGAGTGGCTCGGGCCACACAGGGCTGGAGCCTCCTGTGTCCCCTGACGTTGGAACCTGCTCATTCTGCCAATGTTTAGCAGGCCAACCAGGGACCACCCTGCCCTTTGTCGTGTATTACTGAGTGGGGGACCCCGTGGAAGGTGGTCAGGACCTGGGCCATGGGGACCAGCCAGTGAGGTATGGTGGGTCTGCACCAGGGCCCTCATCTCACCGGGTCTGCTGAGTGGCTGACCCGCCTCTCACCAGCAGAGCTCTGTCCCGGTGTGGGCTGTCACACTGAGATGTCACCTTGGAAACACATTGATTGAGGCAGGTCAGCTTTTTCCCATCCAGTTCTTCCCACTTTTTTTTTTTTTGAGTTGGAGTCTCATTCTGTCGCCCAGACTGGAGTGCAGCGGCACGCTCACGGCCATTGCAGCCTCGACCTGCTGGGCTCAGACAATCCTTCTGCCTCAGCCTTCCAAGTAGATGGAACTACAGGCAGGCACCACCATACCCAGCTAATTTTTTGATTTATTGTAGAGACGAGGTCTCCACGAGTTGCCCAGGCTGGTCTCAAACCCCTGGACTCAGGCAATCCTCTCACCTCGGCCTCCCAAAATGCTGGGTTTACAGGCTGGAGCCACTGTGCCTGGCCTGGGTCACTTCTGAAGGGACCTTTACTGTGGGAAGTGTCCCCACGAGAGGACCTTTGGTCCGGTGGCAGCCTTGGGACCTGGCAATGGGGCTGGCTTTGGATGACAAGGCTCCTTTGGTGGCACCTGCTGTTCCCAGGTGTGTGTTTGGAGGTTTTGCAGATGCAGGCGGTTGGGCTGGAGCACCTAGTACAGCTGGAGGACCAGTGGCTTGAAGCACTAAGTAGGTCTGGTCCGAGGGGCATGGAGGCCCCCGGGAGGAACCTCCAACCCAAGTCGGCCAAACTCTGAGCCTCCCCCAGACCAGGGCATTTTTCCAGATGCGCCATGTGCTCCAGCAGACTCACACATGTGGAGCCAGGACTCCCATGGGCCACTCATCCCTGCCATCCCACCATGTCCCCCGAGGGTCCTGCTGGTGGCGATGGGTTTGGTCACAAAGATGCGCTGGGTCTGGTTCACTGGAGCCCCTGGGACGTCTGGTCATCACTGCATTTGTGAACTCACAAGGCCCTGCTGTGGAGTGTCTGGACCTTAGGACTCAATGCGGGGGCGGGGCGGCTTTGGTGCAGCTGGAAGCATGGGGGCTTGGCAGGTGGCCCTCATGAAATGACTCAGCCACGCAGGAGTTCTGTAGGAGAGCCCGTCGAAAAGGCTTCTGGGAAGTTGCAGTGTCACCTGGTCCTGTTCTGTTTTCTCTACTGAGGGGAGGACGTGAAGATCCCCAGAAAAGTGCCCTGCCCTGGTCTCGGAGCAGGCTGTGCAGCCTCGAAGCAGGTCTCAGAGATGGGCTGGTCACCTGCTTTGCTCCAGAGGTTTTGAGAGTCAGGTGGGACCAGGACCTGGGCCCGGCTGATGCTGCAAGGCCTCGCCTGCCTTGGCCTGAGATCTGCCTCTGGGCCTACCTGGCTGCAACCTTCTGGCCCTGGGGACACCTCCTGCCGCCCCTCGCACCCCGTTCCCTGGAGTCCTGGCCCTGGAAGGGGATCTCTGCTTGGGGCCTAGTGTGGGGGTGCTCCAGATGCCGAGCCTGGCTGGCGCTGCATCCTGCTGGTTCCGGTACCCGGGCCCTGCCCTTCCCATGCCCCAGGCCCCCTGCAGGGACTCAGGAAGGAGCTTCGGGCCACAAACCTCAGGAGGGTTCTTGGAGGCTCAGGCTATGGTTTCCGTTTCCTCTCTGAGTCAGAAGGCAAGTCCCACCGCTTCCCATCCCCCCGCCCCCCAGCACAGGCCACGGTAG